CCCTCTCTGTGTACTAATACCAAGCTGTCTAGACTTTGCCCTTTCCCTCTTCTCATTGACTCTCTATTTCATTTATTCTGCCTGCATCTCTGTAGGTTCAAAACTGGCTGTACGTTACGTTTCCCTCGTTTGGAGAAAGTTCGAGATGATAAAGCATGGTACCAATGCATGACTCTAGATGAGATGCAAAGTCTTCGCCAGGTAACTCAAAGACTCTTCAATATCGGATCATAATTGCTGGAATTGTGATATATTCATGTCTTTTATGTTAATTATATTTTGTAAAAGAGTTAATTCATTCTTATTAGTCCCTGTTTGGACGCAGTCTGAAAACGGGGACTTATGTTTTGACCTCCGTGCGTGCGTCTGGACCTGTATCTTAGAAATGCCTGGACCAATCACAATCATACTCCACGCATACATCATACATGATATTATACATATGCACGTCAATTTGTTTCAGGATCTGATTCAAGATGGCCGAATGGCGGCCATTTTTGTGCTAAAAAATCCTAAAAATCAAGCATTTCTCGGCTGTTTACAGATGGATTTTGTTCAAACTTGGTATTTACATTAGACATTATGTGACCTTGATGCAAATAATTTTGTTTTTCAGATAAGATTCAAAATGGCCGACTGGCGGCCATTTTGTTTTAATGAATGTGGTTCTCGTGCCATATCTCTGACTTGCTTTCACTGATTATGTTCAAATTTTAAATATTCATTATACATCATGTCATAGATATACAGATATATTGGTTTGACTATCTGATTCAAAATGGTCGAATGATGGTCATTTTTGTGCTAAAAAATCATCAAATATCAAGCATGTCGCATACGACTTATTTACCACTTCCGTGTCACTGAGAATGTTCTAGAACCGTACTGTGTCTGGGTGGAATATTCTATATTTTTTAGAAAATGGTTGAATAGGTAATAGAACACTGTAGGAGGCAATATAAGGTAATGGAACATTCTAGAAATTGGTAGTAAGTTCAAGACTCATTATGTATGCTGATGTAATGGTCTATTTATAGACAGTGCGGGTATATATAGGGGAGTTGTTCAGCACTGAGATCAGATCGGAGATCTCGTTGAATTGTATTGGAGTTTAAGTATCTACCGGTAGTTATTGGAGTAGTGGAGTTTTACCGCGTTATTGTACTTGATGTTTGGAGAGTATAATAATACCAGTACCAGTTGAAACCTCATCTGTTGGATCCGTGTTCGTATTTTATCATCGCCGCCAGGGAAGTCTTTCTGTTACTGTTGCCATTTTGGTATTTGAACCATCACACCTGTACTATACCAATTACGGTAATATTACGTTGCATGTGACAAAGGATTTCTGGCATTTATGGATAGATTTTGTTCAAACTTGGTACATACATTAGACATTATGGGTTCCTGATGCACGTCATTTTATTTTTCAGATCAGATTTAAAATGGTCGACTGGTGGCCATTTTGTATTCATGAATGCAGCTCTAGTGCCATATCTCTGACATGCTTTTACTGATTATGTTCAAATTTTATATATTCATTATACATGTATTCAAAATGGCTGATTTTGTTTTAATAAATGCTGTTCTAGAGCAATATCTCTCAATACTCATTTGATGATCAGATACAAATGTCAATCATTTTAATGTTACAAAATCATATTCCTGACATGTTTATATTCCAGCTATATTACTATAAACAAAACTATCGGTATATATCTTACATTCGATAACTAACAGGGACTGTGCCATGGCTTGTTAATTAATATTTTTAAAGTCCTCTTACTTGTAGTATGTGTGTGTTATAATAGATCTATAAGAATTATAATTTATTTATTTAATAGCAAGCTGGTGGTAAGTTGGCAATTCGTCACACAGGCATAGAAGACACTGGTGAACCAAGTAAGAAGAAAGCACGGAGGGTAATAAGACCTTCTAGAGTCATTGGAATTGCATCTCAGTTCAGAGGTGCTGATGTGTCTAATGTAAAACAGGTGAGCTGAATATATTATGGATAAATAGGAAGGTTGCATTTGTTTTTTTCTACCATTGACAAACATTTCTTTTTATTTAGGTATCTGAGATGTTTGGAGGCAATGAATTCTGTGTTGTGAATGTTCCTAAAGGTCATACAAAAACTGATGTGGAAAAGAAAATAGTTGAACATGGTGGTAGCATAGTTCAAAATCCTGGGCCGGAAACATACTGTGTTTTGGCAGACAAAATTACCACCAGAGTCAGAAATATTTTCAGGTAATCAGTCTCTGAACCCTTTCTTATCATATCTCACCCTTTTTTGCACTTTTCTTTTCCTTCATTTAATCTCTCACTTTCTTTCCAGCTCACTTCCTGCAGCACCCTTTCTTTCCATCTCTCTGCTCAAAGCACCCTTCTTTTCCAGCTCACTTCCTCCAACATCCTTCTTCCTTTCCATCTCACCGCTTTCTTTCCATCTCACTGCTTTCAGCACCATTCCAACCTGCTCCTTTCCTTTTCATCTCACTGCTTCCTTTCTGTAAATCACTTCCAGCACCCTTCCTTTCCATCTTATTGCTACCAGCACCCTTCCTTTCCATCTCATCGCTTCCTTTCCATCTCACCACTTCTAGCACCATTCCAACCTGCTCTTTACCTTTCCATCTCACTGCTTCCTTTCCATCTAATCACTTCCAGCACCCTTCCTTTCCATCTTATCGCTTCCAGCATCCTTCTTTTCCATCTTATCGCTTCCAGCATCCTTCCTTTCCATCTTATCGCTTCCATCACCCTTCCAACCTGCTTCTTTCCTTTTCATCTCACTGCTTCCTTTCCATCTTATCGCTACCAGCACCCTTCCTTTCCATCTCACCGCTTCCAGCACCCTTCCTTCCCATCTCATCGCTTCCTTTCTATCTCACCGCTTCCAGCACCCTTCCTTTCCATCTCACCGCTTCCTTTCCATCTCACCGCTTCCAGCACCCTTCCAAGCTGCTCCCTTTTTTTTTATCTCACTGCTTCCTTTCCATTTATCCCTTCCAATCTGCTCCCTTTCTTTTTATCTCACTGCTTCCTTTTCATCTGAATGCTCCGTTTCCTACATTCCTGCTTTCCACCTTCCGCACTCACTGTTCTTACTTTAACTTCAATTCACCTTTCAAAATTCAGTGATTTGTCATAGTTATAGCATGCCTTGACTTAATCTATACCTGCCAATCAACTTTATGTTTCAGTCGAGATATCTATGACGTTGTTGCGGTTACTTGGCTGTTTGATTGTTTGGTGAGTCATACTTCCACTATTACACAATAGCCTGGTGTACCAGTTAGTATATTACAATTATCAAGTTTTAGTTTAAAAAACATTTGGTAATGTTTCCATGGAAATTATAGTGAGATGTGACTCACATGCTAATTTGTTATTTATTTTAGAAAAAAGGTCATCTGTTACCATGGCTACCGTCACATATGCTTCATGAGTCCCCTGATACAGCCTCTGAATTTGCTTTGGAATTCGATCGTCATGGTGACAGCTACACAGAAGATGTAAATAGAGAGAAATTGGAGGAAGTGTTTAATAAAATTGAGGCACAGGTAAAATGTATATAACAAGAAATTTACATGAATTGGTGATTGGGTTAGGGTGTCTTAGGGTGTCCTTGAATCACCAAATCACAAATGAGATTTACTATTAATAACAATTTAGGGTATCTTAGGGTGTCCTTGAATCACCAAATCACAAATGAGATTTACTATTAATAACAATTTAGGGTATCTTAGGGTGTCCTTGAATCATCAAATCACAAATGAGATTTACTATTAATAACAATTTGATGTGAAGCATTTCTTATTAAGATTGGTCTAAGATGCAGACCAGAATCTTGTTTGAGTTTCTTGTATTATCATAACAATTCTCACTTATGAACTGAATGAACAGCAAACTATACATGATTTTTGTATAGAATATAAAATAGCAATGCTAACATGATTCTATGTTTAATTCCTTTATATTGGCAGGGTAACATTGCTAAAATGACATCAGAAGATATTGCTGAAATCGAATTTAATTATTTTCCGAACGATTCACCACTGGGTATATTCCGCCTGTGTAAGGTTTATCTAGATAAATATGCTGTATTGAGTCAACCAATAACAGTGAGTTTTATTTAGTTGTAATGTTTTGTGATAGGGGCAATAGTTATTATCTTTGAGTTATGTGTCAGTGTGTGCAACTTTTACTTATTATTTTACAGTGTTTAGTCTGATCAATGTTTAGTCAGATCAGTGTTTAGTCAGATCAGTGAAATCAGTGTTTATGTCAGATCAGTGTTTAGTCTGAGATCAGTGTTTAGTCAGATCACTGAGATCAGTGTTTATGTCAGATCAATGTTTTTGTCAGATCAATGTTTAGTCAGATCAGTGTTTAGTCTGAGATCAGTGTTTAGTCAGATCAGTGAGATCAGTGTTTATGTCAGATCAATGTTTAGTCAGATCAGTGTTTAGTCTGAGATCAGTGTTTAGTCAGATCAATGTTTAGTCAGATCAGTGAGATCAGTGTTTATGTCAGATCAGTGTTTAGTCAGAACAGTGAGATCAGTGTTTAGTCAGAGATCAGTGTTTAGTCAGATCAATGTTTAGTCAGATCAGTGAGATCAGTGTTTATGTCAGATCAATGTTTAGTCAGATCAGTGAGATCAGTGTTTAGTCTGAGATCAGTGTTTAGTCTGAGATCAG